AAAAAAAAGAAAAAAAGAAAAAAAAAAAACAGCCTTCGCGTCGGAAACCATCTTGAGGTCGGCAACCGGTGTGTTCGCCAAGGTGGGGCCTGGGCTGTAGTAGTCGGTCTTCTGGGCGGTGCTCACGATATCCCCGAAAGCTATCGAAGCAGATCTCTTCACTGGCTTGAAGGCTTCTAGCGGCAGAGACGCTGTCTTATCCTGAAGGGGGGTATCGGCCTCGAGGGCCGTGAACTTCAACTGCTTGTCGATCACGCCGCAACAGATGGCCGCATGCATGGCGGTCGCTGGCCTACGAAACTTCTTGCAAGCCTTGAAGCGCGAGCATTTCTTCTGGGCGCCAATGATCTTCTCGACAGGAATCGTATTCATGATGCCAGTGCTCCGACCTTTCATGATGTCCTTGATCGCCTGGTGCGGAAAATTGAACCCGAGCTCGCGGAACGCCAAGGTGATCTGCTTGGTCGCTGTCAGGCCGAAGACGCTGCGCTTCACGACCACGCACCGTGCACTCTGATCGCCCTTGTACGCGCAGTACTCGTTGAAGACATCGAGGTCTCGCTTGAACTCCCGCGCCGTGTTCGCCCCTGTCTCTGGGTCGGCCAGGACGCGCTGCATCTTCAAGGGCCACCCGAACAAAAACAAACACCTTCGCATCCTGGCAGTGGCAAGTGAAAGATGCGCCATGCCGTACAGCTCGGCAAAGTCGCCCTCGACACCGACCTCACCAGGATCGGCGTCCTTGATCGCGCGCATGTTCAGAATGAAGTCGCAGCCCTCCATGCTGTGCACGTCCATCAAGCCGTTTACAATCGAAATAACATGGTCCATGAAGTCCCCTCCGATCTGATTGGTCATCCACACCTGCGTCGCCTCCGCGGTCTTCATCTCCTTCACGCTCTTCCCCTGCCACTTCTTCACAAAATGCATCGGGGCGAACGAGCAGGCTACTGTGCGGCGGTTCCGAGGGCATGATGTCAGCAGCACTGATATCGCCACGGCGTTTGCGTTAGCGGACCTCAACACCTTCGCGTCGATCGTCACTTTGGCGCTGCTCGTAGTGCCGCCCCCCTCCACGATCGCCCCGTCCACCTCCGCCTGCTTGACCGCTACCTTCTGGAGCTTCGCATTCGCAAGCATGTCGTGCTCCAAGGCGACGCACGTGCGCTCGAACGTGTGCCTCCACCAGTACTTGTAGTTCCTGTCGAAACCATCAGCAGCATCACAAAACCGACAGAAGTTCAAGCGCATCCCCAATGGGATGAAGCCGTTCTCCTCTTTCATGAAGTTCCAAGCCACGGCTGCATCTGGCTCGTCCCCTGTGAACTCGTAGCCGTCCCTCTTCATCTCCTGGACTATGTTATTGCAGTAGTGCTGGAAGCACGGCACCGACCTGTAGGTCTCTTCGTCGTAGATCTTCCTCATGGTGTCCACGCACTCGAGGTGCCTGTATCGGCCGTCCTCCTGAGGAGAGGAGGAGAGGAGGAGAGGAGGAGAGGGAAGGTCCCCCCCCCACTCGGAGGGGGGGGGAGGGGAGGAGGGGAGGAGGAGAGGATGAGAGGAGGAGAGGAGGAGAGGAGGAGAGGAGGAGAGGAGGAGAGAGGGAGAGGGAAGGAGAGGTGCCTGCATCGGTCGCCCTCCTGCCAGCCTCTCCCCACTCTGGAGGAGGAGGAGAGGGGGAGAGGGGGGGGGGTCCTTGTCAGGCCCGAACGGCACGCTGAAGTGGATGAAGAGGAGGATCGCGAGGTCCCACATGCCGATTTCCTTCAGGTAGACCTTGAGGTCGTTGTTCGACCCGTGGCTGAACTCATCGATCCTTGTCAGATACAACTTCCACTTGTAAAGCAAAGCGTTGCAACCTGCCATCCCGTCAGGCCCAAGGTCCATCGGCAACGACATGTGAGGCCAGTTCCGCCAATTTGCGTCGCGCCACTTGTCGGAGGCGTCGGGCCGAAGATACGAAAGGCCATCGGTCTCAGTCACATGCTTCATGGCGTTGTCGAGGGCAGTGCACCACGATGCTGCGGCAGCTCGGCGTAGCACGGCTGGCCTCCAACTCTGGCCCTTCTGGTGCCTGCCTCTCTGGAGCCACGCGCGATGGCGATTTGCCCTCATCGTCCCAGCATCCCCGTCGGTATTCTCGCTCTTCTTCCCCCCAGGCCGCGCCGATCTGATATCCTTGCCTGACGCCCACTCCAGCGCCCCAGCGCCGCTCGCCACCTGCGACGGCGCAAACGCCCGAGGCCCCGCCCCGCCTGGCACCCCCAGGCCCGGCGCTCAGTGCCCCAGCTGTGGCTGTGGTCACTTTTTGGGCCCAAAACTCAGGCGGGAGCCCCGAAAAGTGACCGTAGCCACAGCTGGGGGGCGTTCGCCCGACAGGGGGGTGCGCCTGTGCAGGGGGAGGGGGGGGGGCGGGCTCGTGCGTCTACCTGGCCTACCTGTGGCGGCCCGACGACCGCCACCCCGCTGGGGAGCGTGAACGCGGAGCCGTAGAGGGGGAGGTTGCCAGGGTTGCCCTTTGGGGGGCGACTAGCTGCCAATGGCGATCTTAGCCACCGCCGCCTGCCCCCTCCCCATCCCCCCGCCGAGGCTGGCGGGACTGGCAGGCGGGCGCGGAGGGGGGGTGCGGGGGGAGGCGTCTCAGGGGTGGCCAAGATCGGCAATGCTGCTGGTCACCCCCCGTCCTTGTCGATGGCGACGTTGAGGAACATAGGCGACTTGAACGTGTCCTTCGCGCAGGCGACGTACTTCGCGAGAAAGTAGTCCACCTCGTGCCTGTCCATGTCCTGCATCGTGGACGTGCAGACGTTGATCGGGCTGAGCGTGTCCACGACGTCCTTATTCGTGACCCCGCGGAGCACCATGGCCTCTGCGGCCATGGCGAGGCCGTAGACGATCTGCGAGAAGAACTTGCTTGATCTCTTGGACACCGTGTTCGAGAACAAGTTCTCCCATGATACGAGCATGACGTCCTGGTCGGACGAGCCGACGACACTCTCCACCATCCTGAAATACTTGGTCACAATTGAAGTCCCCCCAGATACATTGGCCAAGCTGTGCAGCGGCTTCACGTCGATACCATCGCGATGCACTCCCAGGTTGACCTGGGGAGTGCCCGTCTCTGTGGGGAACGGCCACGGTGGCGCCCAATCGGCAACGAGGTACAAAGTGATGGCGGGGGCCTTACCCTCGACCTGGCAGTTGCGCAGGAAGGTACCGATGAAGGCGTCCATCAACTCCGTCGCAGCGCGCGTGCTACTCTCCTCCTTGAAGCCCCCAGCCTCTGGCGACAAATACGCGCACCTGGCCACTGCGAAGACGAGTCCAGCCGTCGACAAAGAGCTCGAGTCGAGGCACCTCGTGCGAAACGGAAGCATCATTTTCTTGACCGCATGGGGCGCTACCACTTTGCCGTATATTATCGAGCCGAAACCGAAATTCTGCAGAAAGCTGCCGTCCCACTTATGGCCAACCCTACCCCACCACCTCGACGGGATGCCCTTGTAGGACTTGATCTTGAGGTACTTATGCAATGACATGTGGTCCCACCATATCCGCTGCCCTCCTTGGCGATGACGCTTGAAGATGAACACTTTGAACTGTGTCTCCCCGTTCCCAGAGCCGACGGCGACGTTCACCTTGCCCTTCCTGTGATCCGAGAACATGTCGTCGACGCTCTTCTGTATCGTCTTGGTGTGGGTCGGGTATACGACAGTGGCCTTGGCGAAATATTCCCAGCTACCCTTCGCACGGTGCAGTCTCCACTTGAACAGGTTGTCAAGGTCAATCACATCGGCGCTACCATCAACCTTCACAACCGCGATGCTCGTGTTGTCGTCCGAGTGGACAAGCTCGGCGGCCTCCGCCTCGAACTCGTGGAACTCGTACGTCTCGATGCTCCTCAACATCCACTTGTTATTCCCAACCTTACAAAAGTGCACGTGGTCGCTCCACAGGAGGAGGTCCATGGGCACCTCGGTATCCTGGGCCTTCTTGATCCCGTCGACGTCGATGTCATCGACGTCCACGTGGGCTGGGGGCCCGCCGCCACCGCTGGCAGCCGCGGCCGCCGCAGACGGCATGCACGGTCCCGATGAAGAACTCGCCTCGAGACCCTGAGAATCGACTAGTGCCAAAACGGCTACGCCAGAGGAAGAGGCGAGAGGGCGGGGTGGATCACGGAGGACGACCGCAGGCGACCTGAGAACTCACACGTCGACCTCGCCTGCGCACGACAAACACCGAATCATGAAATATGCATTGCAAACAACGCAAGCCAACGGTGGAGTCACACCTGCGACGTACAAAGGACACTCTCCGAATCATTCTGACGGTTGCTGGCCACCTGGCCACTGCCGGCCTAAAAGGGGGCCAGGAGGTTAGGGGAGGAGGAGGAGGAAGAGGGGGAGGTGGAGGCCCCTCCCTATTCTACCCCTCCTCACTGCATACTGTTTCTATAGCCCTCCCACACATGCCCTCGTCCTCTCACCCAGTCCCCTTCCCCCGTCCTCCGCCCCTCCCGTCCCCATGAGGTGGTGTGTCCATGAGGGCCCTCAGGGGCCGTTTCATTTTTGCAGCTCGAACGGTGCTAGGGGCACCACCCTCCTACGCACGTGTCTGGGCACGAGGTGCTGGGGGCGCCGCGTGCTGGAGGCACCGTGCCTGCTACGACGGTCAGATAACCCGCATTCTGACCCAGCAGGCGGCCTCACCTGCTAGGGGCACCAACTGCTAGCGGCACCACCTGCTACGTGTGTCAACTAAAGCTGACAAGATATGACCACTAAACTAGAGGTTGAGGGCAGTGCTGCGACGGATATACACAAGGTGGTTGACATGCCACTCGCACGAACTCCTCAGGTCAAAACTCAATATCACTAGTGACGAAGACGACCGACGTCACGCTCAAGCCGAGGACACCTTCGCTTCCTTCTTCAAAGCGTTGAGGTCCTTCGCCTTCTTGCGAGCCGACTCCATGGCCGTCGTCTTAGTGCGCTTCTTGGACTCCTGGAGCTCCTTCTGCGCCTCCGTGGGACCCGAAGACGCCGAGGCAGTAGAGCCGCGCCCCTTAGCCCACGTGGTGTACCGATTCTTCACCTTGTCGCTGAGCACGTCGTCCTTGTTGGTGAAGACGGTGAAGCGGTACGGCCCAGTCTTGGTCGCTTGGAAGAACTTGTGAAGCTTGGCGCCCGAGAAGGGTTTGCACACCAAGGCCGCCTTCCAGTCGCTGTAGTTGCAGCTGATGCCGTGGACCTTCTTGACGATGTGCGTCCCCTCAGGCAGGTCCACGGTGTCGCCGTTGATGTGCTGAACCCTCTTGGCAACGTCATCGTCCTCGTCGTACAAGAAGCGGTAGCACCCCTTCACGAAGGACAACTTGCCGTCTGGCGTGATCCAAGACGAGTCCATCATCGCCCAGCGTGAACCGATATCAGTATGGCGCTCCGTCAAGACGCCGCGAGCCACCTCAAACACGCCGAACTCTGGTGGGAGGAACAAGTTATCCATCATCTGCAGGCCGAAGTGGAACGCGTCCGAGATGGCCGAGGAGTCCTTCTCCTTCGCTGTCACTAGCTGGACCACCGTCAACTTGGATTGCTCGACGATCATCTCCAACTTGTAGTCCTCTGGAATCCTGCTGATGGTCTCGGGGGGGCCATTGGGGAAGACCTCGTGGGAGAGAGCGCCCTCCAAGCACGTATCACCATCTACCTCGTCCTTGTACCTCTGGAGGTCCAGCAGCAACGACGGCGCATGGGTGTCGTCATCCAAGAGATGCTTCACCAACGCCTGGGAGGCACGGTAGCGCGCGTTCAGCTCCTGTTGCTCCTTCTTGCTGGCCACCGCCTTCGGCGGAGGAATGAGGTCGACCAAGTTCCTCGACGAGGCGGCGGAGCCCCTGCTGGCCGTGGACTTCGGCGTGGCCACGTCCAACATCGCGCGGGAGTCCGACCTCGACAAGCCGCTGCCCGACGACGTCATGGCGAGCCTGGCCCGTGCAATCGAGGACCTAGGAGGAATGCACGGTGTGCCGAAGAATGGGCAAGCAGAAGTCGCACAAGCTCTCAACCAAAACAGGCTACGGATATTGACAAACAGCAACGTGGCAATGGGGCCCCGACAACTTTGACACGGCACCACGCAACACCGCGCAACCCGACACAATACGGCAAGTAACCGCACCGCACGGCACCCGTCGACACACCCACGATCAGATTTTGGAGGCCACCCCGCAAGTGGACACAACAAAAAACAAGGGGAAAAACACACAAAAGCAACAAAAGAAACTAAAATACACAAAAACAAAAAAAGAAAGAAGGGGAGGAAAAAAAAAAAAAAAAAAAAAGAAAAAGTGATGGAGGGTAGTGAGGGGGGGTGACCACCAAAAAAAGGAAAAACCAGTCAACGAAAAAATATAGGGGACACACGGATAAATACGCACAGATACACCTGGCACGACGCATCGCGTAGATAGTGGGTATAGGATATAATAGAAAAGAAAGAGTTGCTGATAGGGAACAAAAAAAAAAAAAAAAAAAAAAACTGGAAAAAAAACAAAAAAAAAAAATGGGAAAAAAGAAAAAAAAAAAAAAACAAAAAAAAAAAAAAAAGAAAACGAAAAAAAAAAAAAAACAAAACTAAGCGAGGGCGGCACGGCACTCCGAGAGGAGTAGTAAAAGTTATCGCACGTGCATAGCGGCTGTAGACTGAACCATCGGTGAACAGCACGGGACGGCACGGCACGAGACCCCGTGAGACGCATCACGAAACGGCACGGCACGGCACGCATCACGAGACGGCACGGCACGGCACGGCACGAGAATCATCCAGCGATGGAACAAGAGGAGCAGGAGTAGTAGGATGGTCAATTGGGCGTTTTTGGAGGAAGAGGATGGGATAAAAGGAGAAGGGGTTGATAAATGGTTCCGGGAAACGACGACGACGAACAGGGAGGAGGAGGGTGAGGGAAAAGGTTGAAGATGGAGAAGGAATGTGAGGGGCAAGCTAAGTGCGCTCGCACCACGTCTGGCACGCTACCCCTCCGCCGAACCCTTCCAATTGCGTAACTATGCACCCCGATGCTGTTGTTCTACTGCGATGCCCTTTTTCTGCCCCCCCGCTCACGCGTCATAGTGGGTCTGCAATCGCTTGCAAAACCGATTTATGAAAGTTAACAAATCCCAGCGTGTTAAAAAACGGAGTTCTATTTTTTAAAAGATCTTATCTGGGAAACACGAAGGAGCAGTGGCTATGGTCACGGTCGCGTTATCGAGAACGGAGGGGCGGGCTCGGGAGGGCTCGTATGCAAGCTGAGGGCTTCCAAGGCAGCAACCCTCGGCCCCGAGAGTGGCCAAACCCGGAAAATTGCCCCGGTACCCGAATCGTCGTGTCCGCCACCATTTCCGGAGCGCTGGTGCGTGCTATATTGCCTGTGATCTTGCAGCCAGGGCTGTGCTTGAGAAATGGATCGCCCAAGACATCTGGCGCGGCTCGAGGGCTACATCCCGCGCAAACGCTGAGCCAGCCCCTGCTTGCTCAGCCCCGAGCGTGCGCATGGGTTTATCAGAAACTGCGCTAATCAGCCTACTGGAGGCGGCTGAAGAATCGCCGGGCCGAGGCGGCGCGGGGAGGTCTCTTCATGATCCGCGCAGCGGTGCTGTGTGCTGAGATTCCTGAGGTATTCGAACGCCCCTGTGTTACAAACATCCCGATCACATCGCCCATCAATTTTGCTCTCTGGCGCTCTCCTTGGCGACTCGGGCTCCCCTGGGGACGCCGTCGGTGAAGCGCGGCTGCCGAAGAACATTCCGAGGCTGGAAAGAGCCCGTCGAGAACCGACGAGAATGCAGGCACACCTCGAAGCTCGAGCCCCTTTTTCGTCCGCCCCTCCCAACCCACCCCCCCCTCGTCTAAGCTTAGGTCGGGCGTGTCCTCCTACCGGCGGTTTTTGGACGAACAATAAAACATGGTCAGAAGAATAAGCAAACCTAGACAAAACTAGTCCAACCAATCGTCCCCCGACTACTTTTGGACTATTATTGAACATTCCTCCTGTAGAGGGACACGCTCGACTTCAAGTCCAAGCCGATCCTCCCCCTCGCCCCTGCTGGCTCCGGAGCCTACGGGCAGCGCCATGGCCGCGGCCATGAAGGCGCGCGCCGCGGCGGCGCCGTCCGCAACCTCCATGGGAGGGAGGCGCGGCCGTCAGATGGGGCCGTGCGGGCGGGCCCTCCGCCGCGGAGGACATCGTGAAAAAGAGGAGGAGGAAAAAAGGAGGAGGAGGAGGAGGTAGGGAGGAGGAGGAGGAGAGGAGGGGGTGGGGAGGGGGAGGAGGGGGGGGAGGAACTCCTGAAGATAAGAGGAATAAGCGAGGAGGGGGGAGGAGTAATGCGCATGACAGGAGGAGGAGAGGCGAAGGACAGGGAGAGCATGGAGCAAGGAGCAGAAAGGGAGGCGGAGAAGTGACGAGGAAGGAGGAGAGGAGGAGGTAGGAGGAGGAGGAGGAGGAGGAGGAGGTGGCCCACAGATGGGGCCGCGGAGTCCCGCGAGGAACATCTCCCGGAGTCTCGGAGGCCTCGCAGTGGCAACTCGAGACCCCTTTTGCGTCGGAGCCGCGCCAGAATCACGTCGGATTTGCGTCGGGTTCCCGTTGGACTCACGTCGCACCATTGCCGCGCGACCGTCGTCCCAAATATCTGACGGCGCGGAAACGTGGACGAGACCATGCAACCATTTGCGCGCCGCGCGGGGCCTCCGGGACTTTCCTCACAGGGGAGTCGCCTCTCGATCGCCCTTCGATCGTCCTCGCTCTGTCCCAGGGGAAAGAACAATGATATAGACACACAAACTCGGAGGTCCGCGCGGATTTCTCGGATCGGGCGCTGGACTCCCGGTCCCCAGCGCCGATCCGAGAAATCCACGCGGACCTCCGAGTTTGTGTGTCTATGTTTAGGTCGGGCCTGTCCCCCTACAGGGGGATTTTCGACAATCCAAAAATTATCAAAAAATAGTCTGAGGACGATGTTTTTGAATCTTTGTTGGCCTTTTTGGGGCATTTTGGAGGTATTTTTTCTATTTTTCGTCGAACATCCCCTTGTAGGGGGACGCGCCCGAC